GGGGGGGGGGCAAAATTTGTTATGGTTTATAATGGCAAATGATACTTTGAATATTACATGTTGATAACTTGATTGGAATTATAACCCTAAGTTGACAGTCTGATACTTTGTAAATTTTGAGCCATCCCTACCCCCAAGGGCTGTAGGGTGGGGCCCAATGGAGTCTGTGTGCTAAAATAAAATTTCTTCATTTTCCTTGTTTAGAATCAGAGGTGCTAGTTTCAAATACTTTTCAGTCTTAAATCTGCATGCTAGATTTTGAATAAGGTGGTTTTATTGTTTTTTGTCACTTTGAATAATATTTCTGTTCATGTTAAAAACAAAAAACAACTCTCTGTATAAATATATCAGGTGACCGTTAAGGCCCATGGGCCTCTTGTTAAATATTACAGAAGAGGAACACACAACTTCATTTTCCCTTAAATGACCAAGAGATATCAAACTCGTCTTCATGTCTCATCCACAAGGTGGTGCACACTGAGCCTTCCATTTTGTCATGACATATTCCAGGGATGCAGAAAGCGAAAGTGAGCGTAACCCCTGGAGTATCGAGGATGGTTTTAGGTTAAAGTTGTGCCAGCTACAGTTTCTGTTAGTTTGGTACTCTTGTGGTTTCCTCATACAAAGTATTTTGTCTCAGCTGTTCTAGTCTGCTTACCTGTATAAATTGTGTCCCTGCTGCATTAGGGGTCATGACCTTATAATTTTGTTGCAGTAAAAGATATGGTACAAGTGGCCCATGAGCTGGACCTTACACGCCTGACTGAACTTATCCATCGGTCTGGGCTGGCCGACTGGGTACAGAGTAGACCAGAGTATACCTTGTTTGCTCCTAACGATGCAGCTTTCGAAGGTGAGATCCGTCTTCTTGTGAACGCTGCTAGACACACAGTTAACAGGATATTACCAAAATGTATTTTGGTTATACATTTCATGAATTCAAAAATTCCTTAAAAAACTTTCAATTTACCTTATTCACCCTAACTAGCGCTCCTTCCCCTTTTCTGAAGATGAATTTAAACTATATAGACCCCTCACAGACCTAACAAGGCCCAATCTATGATCAAAAGTACTTAATTATTCTCAAACTTTTAGCCACACTAGAATGTTTACAATGTCCTTCAGTAATAACAAGGTTGAAGCTGCACAGCTTTTTCTATCATAACTCGCATTTTATTATCCTGATATATCTCCCCCTTCCCCCTTAAGCTAATATATAAGTGCACTGGGTGCTATTTATGTTAAATATGGTAGTTTGCATCAGATTGATGTCAGCCAGGATTTATTACCCAGTGTTATAGTTTCCCCTCACTTTTGTTGCAGCTCTGTCCCCCATTTACAAGGAGGCACTACAAGAACAACCAGGGTTGGTGGAACAAATGATCAAGTACCACTCTCTAGAGGGGAGGATGAAGACAGATTCCATGGTTGGGGAACAGACACTCAGGACTGGTATAGATGCCAGACTCAAGGTCGGCGTGTACCACAATGTAAGTCAAGATCAAGGTCAATGTGTATCAAAATGTAATCAGGGTCAAGGTCATTGTATATCGCAATGTGATTCAGAGTCAAGATCAATGTTTATCACAATGTATGTTTAGATCAAGTTCAATTCTAAGACAGGGTCAATGTCGATGATTTGAACAAACTTATTCAAATGTCAAGGTCAGTGTGTATTATAATGAAAATTCAGAGTCAAGGTCAATGTGTACTACAATGTAAGTTCAGGGTCAAGGTCAATGTGTACTACAATGTAAGTTCAGGGTCAAGGTCAATGTGTACTACAATGTAAGTTCAGGATCAATGTCAATGTTTTTTCAACAATGTCATTCAAGGTCAAGGTCAATGTGTATCATGATGTAATTCATGGCATAAATCAAAGTGTATCGGAATGTATGTTTTGGTCAATCGCTGGTTGCATCTGTAATTTACACCACATACATTTTGTGCTGTAGGGAATTACAATAGACAGTGCCCACATAGTAGACAGTGACAAGGAGAGCTCAAATGGGCTCATACACGTCATAGACAAAGTGCTCATCCCTCCGGAGCTTAATCTGCTGGACCTCATCAAGTCAGACCCGGAGCTTGAGTAAGTTCTTCCGCAAAATACAAATACCATGGTAAGAGAAATCTCTGTTGAAAATGTCTTCTGATAAATATGCCTGCTGTTCATTTGGTATCATGAATTTCAGGATAATGTGGTACATTGTACCATAATCAACGACAAGGAACAATTCCATCCAAGTAACAAAACATCACTGTGGTATATAGTTAAATTTATCTCTTAATTGCAAAAATAAACAGAGCTTTCAATTATATATTGGTCATCAGAAATTCTAATGTAATTGAACCTTCCTTTATGGGCTCTGTTCATGTTTAGAAACATACATCTTGGACAAAGACCAAGTTTTGAAGAAACCTTGTAATACTGACCTTTTCTTTAACCCCCTTAATTCTTTACTTTCTTCTTGTTTCATTGTTTTTATATGTTTTTATTGTTTTTAGGGTTTTCGCAAATTCCATAGAGAAAGCGGGGCTGGAGGATCTGTTCCGACAGACCCCAAACAAACAGCTGACTGTGATAGCCCCGACGACCGACGCATTTTATAGGATGCCGACCTACATGAGGGAGGATTATATGAAGGACAAAGAAAAACTTAAACGGGTGAGGAATTTGTAATGAGGGCAACTGGTGTAACGTTTTCGTATTTCTCTTCGACCTTCAGGGTTGGGTCCAAAAAGGAGTTATCATAAGCAATTTCCAAAAACTCTTCAAGATCTAAAAATAACAAGAGAATTAAGCTGTTTCAGCTGTAGAGGAAAGAAATAGTTTCCTCAAACCAATGTACCTCTCTGATCATGTTATAATTACAGTCATATTTCTATAAATCAAATATCTAAGATTCAAGTTTCTCAATGCGTCAAACTTACGGCAAAGTCAGGATTTTTTTCCAAATATAACACTTATGATATTCGATTTATGAATCATACTTTGATGAGTCAATTTTTTAGCTGTTTCGCACTTCAATCAAGGTCCTATCATTAGGGAAACATAGAACAATAACAACTTATAATTTGAAGTTAAGTTATTAAATGTACTAGAAATGTCCCAAGGTCATTTTTATCATCTAGACATGCAAACGACAGTGTATATATTACACATGAAACATATTTTTCTAATTTCATTTATTTCAATGAAATATAGATTTAAACTGAATATGTTTGCCTCGTGTTCCATCGCTTGACAATCAATTCAGTCTTGTGCAGTGGTTGAAGTTCAAAATTTGTGAATCAAAGTTTCAGATGTTTCCAATTTTTCCCCGATGGTCCTACAAAGTTTGAAACATCGTAGTTTGGCTGTACCATGTAGTGAGAAGTTGTGTTCATTCCCAAAATTAATGCATAATAGACTTGCCTGTAGAAAACCATACGGGATTAGGGATGCTAATTTTAGAGATCAATAAAAGAGATTATGATTTATCGATATTGATAAGGCATTTTATAAGTAATTTTTAAAAATGTGTTTTAAGAGTATTCACCAACTTTGATCACTTTATAATAAAAAATGGATCATGCTTTTTGTAGATTATGACAAAAATATAATCACCATTTTAGTAACAATCTAACATTACCTTTACAGCTGATTGCCCGTCACCTGATTGACCGCGTGGTGGTCTCCAGTGGCCTTGACATGTCCACGACATACTCATTGATGTCACGACAGCAAGAAGCTGTCGACTTAAAGCTGGAGCCTTCGGGCACACTTTGGATCAATAAGTATGCCAAAGTCCAGGCCAGAGATCACCTCGCTCTAAACGGGGTCATTTTTAAGACTGATCGCGTTCTACACTGTCTGTGCAAGGAAATCACGTGACGAGTGACCAATGGATGAACCATCCTGATGCGGAGTGAACTGAAGCTGACAACTTGATAATGTAGGCTTCAACTGTAGCAAGCTTGATGGCAGGGATTGAGCTGTTGCCACAGTGAATGTGAAGGTCAAATAATTCTAATGGATGTAAAATTTCTAACTGATGACAGGGTTAGTGCTAACATTGTAGCGAAGTGCCTTTGATATTACGGTTGGGCACTGCCAGTGAATATGTCATTAAATACTCAAAGCAGAATTGATACTGACTAGCATCTGCTATCTGGAAAAAGGTGTTTTTCAGTAAAAACTCAAAAACTGCCTTTCTGTATGCATCAGTGTTGTACTTTGATAATTCTCAGGTGACAATTGACCTGTTTTAATGGCTGAAAACCAAAGGTAGTCTTGTAGTATGTGTGCATGGTTACGGTAACTAAAGAAAACAATGGATATCAATTTCTCTGTGTACATCAATGTGTATTTTCTTCCAATGCCGATCAGCATGAATGAAGGATGGCGTAACTGTGATTGTTCATGCTTAACTAAACAATTTCAAGGGAGAAAATTACAAAGTGAATAAAAGTGAAGGGAAATAACTCTTACAAGCAGCATGGATGGGAAGTAACTCCATCCTAATAGCAGGGAGATAATCTGACTATAAGCATCATGTAAGGGAGATAATTCTGAATTACATCGGTGATGAGCAGCACCAGAAAAGGGAGATAACACATCATGGTGAGCTAATCCTGGACAATGTTTGTGGTGAATGTTTAGTTTGTAAGGGACCAACATCATTTTATTAATACCATCAACATATATATCTACAGCCAGTAAATAACATTCATGACTTGTGTATTCTTTGTTTTAAAAAACAAATGTGACTAGTGACTAGTGAATTATCTGCACGTGTATATATTATTTCATACGCTCGTCATACCATTACGGTAATATGGAAAAGGGAGGAGAGTATTTAAAAGATTACTTATAAAGTATTGGTGAACCAAATTTACATATACACAGGATTTTACGGTTAATAGAAAATCTCGGGGCCAAGGAGATTCAGTATTGTATTACTGAAAACAGAACCTGTTGGCAGAAGAAGTGGAAATATTTTGGACTTCTGCTGTTCTTTCAGGCTACTTTAACTGAACTTAGTGCCAATGTTTTGGGAAGATTCAAATTTCCTGGGTCAGAAATAAAATCACGATAAAAATAGATCAGTCATGTAGACCCCATGGGCATCTTCTAAGGTTTAGTAACACCAAACTATCATTGAATATGTTATTCCTCAAATAGTAATAGTTATCCATCTCTTTTCTACTTATCAAATATTTATTTTACTAGACGAATGTTAATGCTACTTGTGTTTCTAATTAAAAATGACTAGTATGGGACCCTGTACTGTATGTCCTGTTTTATTGTCAGTTTCATGAGGGTTTAGGCCAGTAAACGAGAGTAAGACAGAGTGTTTTAAGTGCGTGACAGAGGTGTTTACGTACCGTATATGTAGTAACACGGTAGCCAGCACGTTATTTAGTCCCTAACAGTTTTGTGATGTAGTGCTTTTTGATTTTGTTGTCACCTCCATATGTTTCCATGACAATTATATATTGATTCATTATTGTACATAAAACAACATCAACCGAAAGGAAATCCTACGATAAAAAATGTTTTATTTCCACTAATTGATTAACTCATTCACCCCTGAAACACATTTGAACTGTTCCAATTCAAAGGTTGGAATAGTTCATTATGAAATTTCAGGGGTGAATGAGTTAAACAAATCTATAAGAAACCTGCAATTTTAAAACTTTACTTGCCGATTATGATGACGCAATAATTTGTTGACAGAGAAGTGAGATAGAATGTTTCATTAGTTTTAAAATGTTGACATGGATGCCGCACAGTTCCGTTTCCGTGAGCTAGTATGCTTCGCCATTGTACATGTACATATAGCGAGGCCTGATCAAGGCTACTCCTAGCATAGCTGTCTCTTTGTAAATATATCATTGTCATGCTGTAAATAAACCTATTTAAGCATGCAAATGTATATATGATGTAAAATCAAAATAAATTGTCTTAACAATGATGTTGATCTTTTGTTCTTGCTTAAACATTCACATGTTGCCAGCTGGTACTCTTACCTATCTATGTCTTCGAAATTCAAAGATTCTGCTCACGATACATATTTTCTCTACACAAAGGGGAATATTTCATAACAAATCGAAGCCTCACAGTAAGCTATTTGATTGGTCTCCATGATAAAAGCTGACCAATTGCTAGGCTGATATCTGTTCTTTGAAAGTTACAGAAGAGAATAACCCCCAATTGTAAAGCTGGTCAATTTTACCGTTATGCTGCCACATGATTCCTTTGATTTTCATTGAATAAACAGACTATAGTCTACATATATTGTCCACTATAGCCCCTTTCACCTATCAGGTTAAACCATTTATACCACAGGAGCTTGATATACTATATAATTATATATACACCATTTTATTATGAGCGTGTCAAGCTCCTGTGGTTTTAACCAGCTTAACCTGAGAAGAAAACACTAACAAGAGGCTCTGATCTGAAACGAGGTTGACCTAAGAAATATTCGGCACATGCATATCTCGGGGTCCAGATGTGCCAGACTATCGCTAGTTTGCATTAATTTTTTATAGAAAAATTAAGGTCAATTATCAGATGTATATTTCATGATATGTTATTTAATTTAGTGGACATATTGTTCTTTATATATTGTTATTTTTTTGCCACAAAAGTCTAAAACTGTCCATTTTATTTTTAGCTCTGCCTAAAGTTTGGTCAGTTTGTTTGTTTATCGCGGAATACTTTTTTTTTTGCTACCTGAAATGCTTCAACAAGGATATGTGAATGCAACATACATGTTGTGTTTAAGAGCTTTCAGCTATGTCATGTTTTTGTCCGATTTTGTAGTATAGAAATAACAAACTCATCCACTTCATTCTGAATATCACATTTTATTTGATCACAAACAGTGACACAATTTTTTAATTTTTGACAACAATATTACACCTGACCTTTGACCTCTGTAACAAGTGTCAGCCGATTGGTCGAGTGTCGGTGCTACTAGGAATGCTACTTTTGGTTACACTGTGCCAAAGGCTGTCAGGGAATTTCTATTTATGGCAAACATAATAAAATTCATCAAGACTTTTCTTCTGAACAAATTCGAAGAGAAAACAAATGCACAATGTAAATAAGAACAGAACAGGTCCGTGTTATTTCTTATACTGTTGCTATACTTTCTTGTTATCATGATATATATATTTTTTCAACAATATAAAAAGATTTATTAGACATCGGTGAATGAAATGTTTCATCCTACATAATTGTGACATTAAAGTATAATTGTTGTTTCTCAAACAAAAAACAAAAAAAAATAGAAATAACAACACCAAGAATTTTCCACAATATTGTCGACATCCTTGCTACTTGGACGTACACTAAGACCGATTCAGACCCTTTTTACAATACATTACCAAGACAACACTGACTCTATAAAAAGAACCAAGCTACTTTGTCTACAACCACCTTCCAATTTAACAATGACCTTCAAATATTCCTGAGAGAACCCTCATGGTCAGAAGTTTAGTAGAGTGCATAGCTGACCACTGTAAGACACTAACAACCCAGGTAAGGATGCTGTCCATCGCTGTATCTACCAGATGATTCATAACACTTGAAATTTCAATTTGATTTCATTACCAAGGGGAGATAATTCATGATAATGAACACACTGACACAACTACACTAAAAGATACATGAATTAAATAAAAAGCACCAAACACAATTAAAGTCATGATAAGTTAAACACATTATTTGGCACGTATGTGGTTATAAAGTCGAGTCGGACCATCCCGAAGGATTTGGGAGCCCTACAGAGTCAGATCTTAGAGTTGAGGAATCAGATCACCTAATGAAAGATAGCATGATGTTCAACCACTTTTGTGCATTCTTGAAATCCAATTAATTGATTGAGTTTGAAAATGAAGGAATTTCAACAAAAATATTCAAAATTTGGAAATAATCATAAAATGGAACTAACCATACAGTTCTCTAGAAAAATGACCAACATCTCTCCATTATAGAATAATGATATACCAGATCCAAAGCTCAATGGGAAACAATGAAATGGAGGCGATATTGAATGCTATAACACGACAAGGATGAGTCAAAGATTAAGGGGAGGTAGCTCCCATTATACACACGGTGTAAGGGGAGATAACCGATCTCAAACAATCTATACTACAATGCACTGCACTAATACACAACAAGACTCAAATCTCTTTTTCAATTTTCACCATCCTAATTCAAGTATCTGACTTTTTATTATTTGTAATTTCTTTGATAAAATCAGAATCTACATTTTAAGTTGTGTAGAATTTGTGTCATTCATTAAGGGAAAATTTGAGGAAATAAGAGAATCTGTCGGTGTCTTGAATTTACTATCAACTGTAGCATATTCCCTTTACCCGTTAATCTCATAGTTCTCGGTCCATTTTGAGAAAAAGGAAAAATATTTTTGGCAAAAAGTTTGAATAGTTTTTGTATTTAAAATGTAGTTCAATCCTTCCTACCGAAAGAAATCTAACAATGACGTTTTCAACAAATAACTCACAAAATACATCTCCTAACACATTCTTTTATGAAACTGCTCCTTTTTTTCTAGCTAAACCCAGTCAGTGACAATCCGAAGTTGGCCAAACAAACAGGGTTTTTCAGTCAGAACAATAAATAACCCTGATTTACAGGGTCATGTAACATGTACAGCTATGGAATGATTATTGTACAGATTATATTAAAACTAAACTATATACAATAAAAATTCCTATATACAATTTTTCATTCAATATTTATAAATAACTAAAGAACTGATTAAATATTAAATATTGCATAATGGAGTGCATAATGACGTTAACATGACTGTCTTGGAAATAAAACTTTCCAGATCTCTATTCCGCATCAGGCCTCAGCATATAGAACTATATAGGTAGGGAATCTCACATTATCATATTATTTGAAAAGCTGTATCAAGTACATAATATTGTAAAATGAATATAATGAAACATTACAATTTCAGAAATGATCTCCGGTTGGACCAGTGAACAATGTTTAATTTCTGAAATCCACTTAACGATTGCAAATTTGATAAATAAAAAATAAATGCAAGAAAGAAAAATGTTCAGCAAACAGAAAAACAATGTAAATACAACTGTGGAAATAAATATCAGCACTTATGTCAATAATTAATTTTCAGATCTAAAATACCTAAAGGTAAAACAAAATTTCCCAGATCCTTTTTATAATAGAACATAAACATAAGGATGATTGACATCCCTTCAATGATGTTAGATTTCAGCTTGTCTTTATAGATCCATTTTGTCTTCAGTATAAATATTACTAAGTTATGTACACTTTGGTGGCCCTCTTTACGGATGAAACAACCCTTTATGTTTACCAGAGATTTTGTCACCAGAATGAAGATCTGGCTTAAACAAGATGTTTTTCGTAACAATACAGATCAAATTTTTCCTATTAATCAACATTTAATCGTGGCCCCCTTTTTTGACGAAACCATCCTTTTTGTTCAACTACAACAAGAAAACCAGGAGTTAAATAAATATGATGTTATACTGTTCAAATGCAAACTTGGGAAAACGGAATAAATTTTAATAAATTGCAGTGAATAAATTGTCTCACAGTAAACAGCAAATATCCTGTGTATTCATTTACATTGAGTGAAATATGGCATAACTATTAGGTGCCTTGCCATGCCGGAGTGCTCTGTACATGTTAATGGGTGGTGTCAAGTTTAAAGGAAACTTACATGCAAAAATATTCAAAACTTAGATAAATGCCATCAGCATTGACTAGAGTTGTATGGCCTTTTGAACTGTGACCCCTGACACAGTGGATTGGCAGCTGTTTGTTCTATATTTCACATCAGAGTTGTTATATATGAATTTGACTGGGGTACCTGGATAGGTAAGTAATATCTAATTAACAGTAGGTGATACAAACAATACATACGTGATAATATCAAAATATGGGTGATACCTTCATTAGGTAGGGGACACTGTTTTTGAGAAAAGTCTGAACATTTGCATATAATTTGTGTTTCTTGCCTCCAGAAGATCATTTTGATTGCTACACACAACATTTTAATTTTAATTTTATCCTTTTTCAAATATTTTAGATTATTGTGTTAAGTTGGTCAAGCTTTGAAAAGCTTGCCCCAGATTTCCTGGCTCCTCATTGTGATTCTGACTATTCATATTACAGAGATTGTTCTAATTATTCTGGAATGATTTAAATACTGGAAAAAAATCTTGTTTATCCTATCTGCATTAATTCATTTTCATATTATAGAGAATTCAAAGAGGCCAAAAATTTTGATGATTGAGACTTTAACTCACCTGAACAGATAACCCAGACAGGTACTTTCAAACTTACAGGTACTACATTTTGTTCTGAGCAAGCTCTAATGTAATTCAGTCTGAGCCTACATATACACTGTGCTATATCCTTTCCACTTCAGATGTTACACATGATAATTAAAGCACCATGAATTAAACTTTCCATACACTTCACTTATAACTCAGCTGTTGTCTTTGGCTTGACTTCAAAGGGACACAGTGTAAGCTGTATATTATTGTAAAAGGTCAAATGCTTTAATGCATTGCATTTGACCTATAAAAAAAAGGACATGCAGTCATATATATGACCATTCAATCTACAAAGTAACAGTGTCATTTGATCAAAAAGATCACATGCTGTAATGAACTTTGACCCCAAAGAACACACATGTCAGTGTGACCTTTGGAGTCTAAATGTAATATGTCATAGCGTCATTAAACTACCACACTCATTGTCATAATATCATTCTGAACACGATACACAAGCCAATCCTGGTCCAACATTTACTATGGATTCAAAGTTTTGTCCCCTGGGGTGGGGCACTACAGCGGGTAAGGGTCATACAATCGACACCTCCCCCTCCTCATCGTCATAGTCCATGTAAGCCAGCTGGCTGCCACCCACCTGGCGGGAGACACACACCTGTGCCGGTACGTGGCCACTTACTCGTGCGGCGGAGACTACACCTCGACTGTGGGGCGGGCCGTGACCGCCACTGGGTTGGGGTTGTGGAGAGTGAGAGTTAATGTATGCGTGGCGGCCTTGGCTCTTGTTCTGTCGTACACGCCTATAATACTGAAATAAACAAAAGTCGGTCATCAATACACAACGAAAATATGTCCATCAGCAATCGAGTGGAAATTCATTTCTGAAAAAATAAGAAAACACTAGAAAACAAAACCACTCCGTACAGAATCCATTCTATGATAAAGTAATCTTGAATGTCACAACCCGGATAGAAATAGAGATAGGAATCACACGTAACAAACAGAATAGTAACATACGTTTAAACTCAGTCAATGTTAAATATATCCAAAGAATTTTCTCAGCAAAATGTGTCTTATTTACACGAAGGACATAAAACAATTTAAACCTTGAAACTGACCTGAATTTCAGAACAATAATAATAGTTACCTTGATATTGAAATCATGATATGCATTATAAAAGTTTGAAAATATTTTTAATGTGAAATTTGAGTGATGAGTTGCAAAAATTGTCCAGGCTTCGAAAATGTGCCAAATGTTACTTGTAGGCTGAAACATAATAATATTGCCTGTATGGCATTTAGATCTTAACACTGCAGGTGACCATTTATTATATTTCAGTTGTTTCTAATTTGAAGGACCTTAACTCATTCATTCCTGAAATTTCATACTGAACTTTTGAATTGGAAGAGTTCAAATGTTTCTTTAGGGGTGAATGTTTCTTTAGGGGTGAATGAGTTAACTTTGGAAGAGTTCAAATGTTTCTTTAGGGGTTAATGGGTTCACTTTGGAAGAGTTCAAATGTTTCTTTAGGGGTTAATGAGTTAATTTTGGAAGAGTTCAAATGTTTCTTTAGGGGTTAATGAGTTAACTTTGGAAGAGTTCAAATGTTTCTTTAGGGGTGAATAAGTTATTGTTAACTAACACCATAAGTGTTCCTGACAGCATAAATGGTTTTCCACCATTAGTGAGTACACAAGGACAACAATGAACCTCAACATTTTGTTTATACAGACATGTGTTTAAATTATAAAAAAGGCATAACTATAAAGTGACCAATCTTCTGAGAAACCAAGAAACACAACTTGTACCGACATCTAATTTCTACACACATCGAAATAAAATAAAATAATAACCAGTGAACACAATACAATTCATTATTATCATCCATGCTTGTTTGTCTGGAAATTAACTTTTTTGAACAATTACAATAACATTAACATAGACACGATTTTTCAATCATATCAAACATTTGACTTTTGAAATCGGCAAAATCACACTAACTGCAACCTGCATTTTGCACAAATTATATATCCCTTTCATACAACAGTTTGAACTCTGACATTTTGTAATTTAATATTTTCAAAAATACATTTTTTTTAGATTTTGACACACACAACTTATGACACATAAGCTAAATTAAATGATTGGCAAGTATGCATGCAAGTACATGGACAAGGGAATGAAGTATGAGGTAGGTAACCCTCAATGAGGATGGTCTGACATTCATACATTTAGTTTATTGTGCAATTGACATACTGCCAATTCTTCATATCAACTTTAAAGGGAGATAATCATGCAAAAGGTAGACAACTTAATCTAAAACTTATCAGCATGTTAAAATCCACAGTTTCCAATATCTCCAGTTCTACCATAGGAAAACAGTGGCAGATTTTATAACATACACCATAGAAGAATGGGAAATGCTAAATTGAATTTGTTCACAACGTTGCATTGATGCTAAAACTCCACAGCCCTCTCATATCCACTTATTTCCCACCCAAACCAACCAATTTGACTGAAAATTCTCTACCTAAGTGTACACATACCTACCTATTGAGTGACAGATGCCTGAGCAGCATGAAACAAACAAATGAAATTCATCAACCATCTGTCTTCATAACATTATTTCTTATCACAAATTTTAAAATTATTGTGGGTTTTTTTTTAGTTTTGAAACAGCTTACGTCATGTGATGATGGGGTCAACTTGTGTTAATGTTTTTCATCATATACATCAACTTATGGATAACAATATATCTCGTCATATACTTTTCTCCCCTACCCACGCCTGTACAAGGTTGGAAGCTAGAAGGTATCTGTACAACAAGAATCCCCCCTCTCCACAGCCATGAAAAAATTAGTTTCCATGTTTGACATTTTTCCCACAAATAGTGATGGTGATTTCAATGTTGGCACTCTGAAATATAAACTCATTCAAGAAATTCTCATAACAAATGACCTTTGTGTTAGATGAGTTCAATGTCCGCTACCAAACGGAGTAGCTTGAGCAATGACAGTGAATTGGGACAGGACAGGTTGCAATGAAATGATGGGACGGTCATTGATAATGCTTTGTGCCCTCCCCCAAAATATGAGGGCATAACTAGGTTTCTTTCATGATCATTTACTTTCATGAATTTCTGAATCCCAAAAAATATTTACATTTCAAGATTAAATTAATATACCGTCAAATACAAAAAAAGAAGCTTTTGGTCTTACAATGGAAAGTATCATAATATCTAATTTTATCAGGCTAAAATCTATTACAACATCTCACAATCAATATAGACAACAAAGAACGAAACATTTTTCCTTTGTTTTAACTTAACATAACTTACCCTGTCTGCAGAACAACTCACACATATTGGGTTATCTCCCCCTTAACGTGAAAGGCACAATTCATATTTTAAAGTTCAGACATCAAAATAGTTTTTAAGACTTGTTTAAAATAGAAAATTAAAACAAAATGTAGACATATTTCTTTAGAAAAAAATATTAATACTCTTTGCTAATTCTGAACCTATTGGATTCCCTCCCCTTGGATCAACCTATGACTTTCATTAGAGGTCAAAATTTCAAGTTTGTATCAAAGTTTGTTTTCAACATAATTGGTTTTTTTCTTTTCTTATTATTAATTTTTTATACATATTTTGCTTATAATGTAACGGTAATCCCACTGTACAGTTAGGTAACCCAGTAAGGGGATGTAATCCAGCAAAGGGAAGCAATCCGGTAGTCTCCCTTTGGTAAATATTGTGTAGAATATAAGGCAAATCAAATAACAGATGTCTGACAGTGAAAGTTAGCACAGTCAAGGTCCACTACCTGTTCTGTGGTCTTCTGTGGACTACTGCTTACGGGGGCGCCATCTACAACACACAAAATACCTCGTTAGAGCAGAAAGGTAAACAATTTTTGCTATCTTCTTCGCAGGTGAAAGTCTCATCAGCCTCTTAATTTATCGTTTTTCCTACAGGTAAACAATTAAAAAGATTTTACCTCAAGGAATCAAATAAATTCCCCATTTTAGTATGTATCAGCCACAAAAGAATTCATTAACATCTATTTTGAATATTTCCGATCTTTTAACAAATAATGACTATGATACTAAAAAATTTTTTTTTTTTAAATCTTGATGTAGTTTTGACAAAATTCTAAATAAATTTCAGTACTTTATCCGGAGCTAACAATAAGTTTGATTATGAGAAAGTGCATATTCTCAATTATATTGAACCTGAAGCTATATCTATAGTTCTGCTGCAAAAACCATGCATATATACATGTATATCAAATGCTCAGACAAGCAAACCAACTCTAAATATTTCTATATACATGAATTATCATAACATGCACATTATGCTACAAGAAACTGTTATTTTATGTTAAAAAAGGGAGAATAATATCTAAGTCTTGTAACTCATGCTGCAAAATCAATCCCTATATCCACAGAAAAAAAGAAGGGCAACTTATCAAAAAAGTCATTTAAATATGCATACGAAAGAATTCAAATTGTGTCATTTATTTAAATACTGTGAGGGCACACTTAATCTACATATTCATATAGATTACATAATTTAATATTCATGACTGTACATTATGGAATACTCATATGACATTACAATTAATTATTATTTAGTCACCATGGATTAAAATCTTAAGAGAGAAGAATGAATTTTATTTTTCATTAATAACAATCTATTTCAACCATTGTAGGCCAGAACTTTGATAATTCTCAGAATAAAACAAAGACTATTAGTTTAAAACAAGATCTTTGCGACTGAAAAATAAAATGCAAATGCAACCAAATTTCTCAGGTCACTATTCCTAACCATGTTAATGCTATTATGGTGAATGGTTGTCCTAGACACACACATTGTAACTACACCAAAAATTTAAACATTTGATCAATATTTCAGGGGAGTTAACTCATTCACCACTGAAGACATATTTTAACTTTTCCAATTCAAAGGTTGAAATAGCTCATTATAAAATTTCTGGGGTGAATACGTTTAACCTGACAGGATCTAATATAACCTTCCTACAGTATTATACTCAAAGCCTTGGACTTGTCTCATGGAAATCCATGACGACTTATTTTTTATCAGAGGTAAGATGACATTTCAGGGCCAATAATTTAATTATTTAATAATGCATATTCACATCAATTATCTAATGATATTTGAAAAATAAAACAGTCTGAAAAATCTTCAATGTGAAGCAATCAAGTGCATTAATTGCCAATACACATGTCCTAATTTTCTTGAATTATGGAAAGAAATTTCAATAATAAAGAAATGTTTCAATTAATTCAAATTGTGATATTTTTTTTTTTTATCTTTATGGCATGATCTGTAAATGAATAACTACTTTTAAAGGAAATACTTGGAGAACATGTAATGCAAACACTGTTGAAATATCAGGGCAGTGATTATATATAGATTATATGATGGCTTGACATCAGCAAAGGGTTAGTAGGCAGTGAAAGAGTTAGTTCCCCTAGCCTATGGTTGATTAGAGTTATTTCCCCTCGTTCATGATCAGATTGGTTGAACTTTTAATCAAATGGTCTGAAGTCCCTTGACTAAATATGAAAAACTATGTCTAAGATTAAATTAGTAAATATCATTTCTTGAACAAAAATATGTGAAATGAACATTTAAAAATTAACAAATGAAAGAAAATGTTCTTTAGAATCAGAATGAATATTTTAATATTAGTATTCACAACAATTAGACACCTACGTGAAGTCATAAATATACAAACCATCTTAACCAACAAACCATTTTAATGTGATGAAGAAATATTAATTTTTCATGTTAATGATATGAGTAATGATAGTGTGTGTGCCCTTTGAACCCCAAAACAAGTAAAGCCCCAAGCCGCAATATTAATAATGAATGACAGGTCTACCTAGACAGTAGATTCAAAAGAGGTGGGGTTTACGGCAGAGGGCTTCGATCTTCTGCGATAGTAAATACGTTGGGAACTTTGCTTAGCTGAAAGACAAACAAACATAAAACAGGATTTCAATGAAGGAGTGAAATCTGATAGTGGACAGTCATCGCAGACAGACCCATTTCACATGACATCACAGCCAAGCTAGCTACCATGTTCAGCTAGATTTGAGTGTGTACCACATTTATCCTGCAAAAAGCCCAGGGGTCCAACATGTAAACACTGCTTTGAAGTAGTGAGTTGGCTTATTTGAGTAAAATGGAACAGTGTTCACTGTTATTTCTATCAAACTATGGGTGGGCTTATTACCAGGCATGAGAATTTTGGTGAATAATGACCGTGTTCCTTAAACCATGTTATTTCATATCGGAACAAACTCTTTGAATTGTCTTCACATTTAAAAAAGTTGGTTTTTTTAGCATAAATTCCCAACAAGGACCCTGAAAGTTATATTTACTATTACACGACTTGCGACCAGAATCATTTTGTTCTTATTTTGTGAAGGCTGCTTACTGATTTCAGTGATATGGATCTACCGTAGGGAGGGAAGTCACTCAGGGCTATAAATAGAAACAGGTACATGACACTCTCAACCCTTAAGGATGATGTAATAATCTTATATCTTGTATATTTGTTAGCCAAACTGTTTGCTGGACAAAGTATTCTCCAATATCAAGTTTGAAAGATAAATTTTATTTGTAACTTCATATCGTTCATCCAATCAAATTTTAAAGGACAAAAAAACATCAGACTATTTCATCATCCATAGGTCATGTGATCTCAAACAATGTCAGGTGACATGAGTCGTCCAATCAAATACGCTGTAGCATATCACTCAAGGCTTACCTTTGGCGAGGAACCCTCAGTTTGTAGCCTTTACACAACAACAAAATTAGCGTGTAACGGAAAGTCAATATCAACAACACAACGCAGAAAATCACTCAACAAAATCATTTCAAGCAAACAATACTAAAAACCATGGCAACAGAAAATCTAACAACCAGCAACAAGCTTGTCTAAAATCATAATCAAACTACTCAAACAATCAAATACAAACACAATACTGGGAACAAGAACCAATCAAATGTTTTGTTTTAGCTTCCTAAAAAGTAGCAGCGTTTTTGATTGGCTGAATGTAAAATTGAAGAAATATTCAACTTTGAGGTCAAATTACCGTGTGCATTCCTGCTTAAAGCATCAGAAATCTGTTTTGATCAGAAAGCACTTGTTTAAAGTCTGGCTAGCAACGTGACTTTTTTGAAAATTCAGGCATGCTCAAATTATTAATAAGAAGTGTAAGGATTCCAAATATTCCTTTATATTCAGCAGATCTTGTAACATGTTCTATAAACCCAGCTTTGCAAAAATTTCATATATGTTCCTTATCTTGAAGAAATTTCTCCACATAAATGCATTACTAAAGTTAAGGATATTCCCTTAAGATTATTTTTTTCCCCATGGCACCCGCTAAGCTCCAACAAGTTAATTGAAATTTATGAAATCATTTTTTTTACAATAACTGATATATTTAGAAATATTTCGGTGTTTCTCGTTTCACGTCGTTGAACTCATTCACCCCTACAAATCTAAACTGGACTTGCCCAGTCCTTGATTCGGTAAGATTCAAATTTGACTTTAGGGGTGAATGAGTTAAGCGATCAACTTTTTTTAAAATATGACACATGAGAGATTTCCATTCAGCTAAGCACACATTTAACAAAAGAACACAACACCTGTCTGTACGCTAGCACACTCAGCATGCATTTCAGCCAAACTGTTCACCGGAAACTCAAAGCTGGAAATGGAAGTGGATGACAGGGAGAGGGGGCCATAGCAGATTTACCTTCGCTGATAGGTAAAGGGGGAGAAGTAAGGGGATATAGAGGTAAGTACGTACCTGTGCCGTTAGGCAGGGCACGGGGAAGGTCCTCCGTCTCGGGCGTGGCAGCTGTTATAGTGACAGGAGGAGGGGGCACAAATTCAGGGGGGCCCAGTCTATCATCCGGTGATGGTAGCTTAAAAAAAAATGTAAATGTTAATATTTGTTGTCCTTGTATTTTTTTTAAATCTCATGTTTTAATACTGTACAAGATTTAAATGAAATCTTTACCTGAATGTGGCATGACATTTTCCTTTCTGCAGTGTTATTGGTAGTAAAAACACTTCCACAAAAAATATAATACAATCAAACCTGCATAAAGAGACCACCCTTGGTAAGTCCAAAACTCTTAACACAGGTGGTCTCTTAATACAGGTTCAATTAACAAAGAAATCACTACAGCGGGTAACATTAAAAGTGGTCTCTGAACACAGGTGGTCTCTTAATAGATGTTGTCACATGACCAGACTTGACTGTACAACAGTGTTTGGTTTTGTTAAACAAAATAAAACCAAACACTGTTGTCAATCAATTTTCCTAACGTAATATCATCACGGTGCTGAAGTTAAAGTCTATACAAGATTTAAGTTAACACATTGGTGGTCTATGACATATCACAGAAGACCGTTCATCATATACTCAGGCTGCTATGTAGTGTAATAACACCCTAAACTTTCATAGGGTAACATTTGTAATATGTAATAATACCCCTTTGGAACGATATGACGATGTCGCAAATTAATGTCAAATGCAAAACTGGTGGTGTTTTCTTCTGATTTTCCCAGTCTGAATAATCGTAAAATGCCCCGTTTTAATAAATTGGGTTGCATATTTGATAAAAAAAATCTCAATCCGAGGTTTTTGAAACATAAAGTTAAACCTCCTCTACATATTCACAAAAAATAATTTGAGACAGTTTTTCATATTCTCATTTCCTATAGAACCAAAAGAAAAGAAAAAAAGAACAAAAATATCATTGAAAACAAAATGTGCCAATAGAATGCCTCAAATCTTTAAAGTAAACTTGAAGCTATAAACGTTATGTTTGTTGGTTACCATGCCTACCAGGTTCAGTCCCCCTAAACTTGTGTCAATTTCTTCTACAACCAGGGATGGAAATACGCCAAATTTGCCGTTTATCTCCCCTTCCCAGAATCCATCGTCCACACCATTTTCATCTTTGCGTATAATGTTTATTAGCGTCCCTTCAGTAAACGACAATTCTTCGTCAGTCATGGCTTCATAGTCATACAATGCTCTGGCCCATATGCCCTCTGTAACAAAAAAATACAGAATTATAACCATATTGGAACCAATCGAAAAGTATGATAACCAAGAGAATAAATTTCCCATTTTGAAGAGAAACACTGTTGAATTTTCTTTAAAAATGTGCATTATTTTCTATTTTCTTACACAGAAATATAATTATCCAGAAAAAAAAAAGATTCAAAACCATAATGATGACAATAGTTAATTTGATCACTATGTTTTTTTCATTAACATTATAGGTTATAATAAATCTATTTTTCATTTCATTATTTTCCAGGATATTAAATGTCATCATCACACTATGTACTTTAGATTTGCGACATATATATTCATCTTTCATTTTGATTCCATATTTGGTTCACAAGTTCAAGTATTTCAGAAAGGATCTTTGCATAATTTTCCAGAAATATTTCAGAGTTCAGCATTGAATGCTTAGATAAAAACTTTTTTAAATAATTTCTAAGAAAAGCACAGAAATGAACAGTTTCTTTAATAACAATTAGAAAATCAACCAATAACAACAAGGCTTATTTACCTTCCGGGGCCACAGGTAGTTTATCAGGAGACATCTGATTGGTTGTCATCTGGACCTCAATGTCACCTGAGGAGTATGATGTCACTTCCTGTGTGGCATCATTCGGCGACTGCAGGTCGAATGAAGGGATAGGGTGTATTTCCACACCCTCTGTGGGTTCTGCAGGGGTTGTGTTGTCGACATGATCCGATTGGTCCATACCACCGTTCTCCTGAACCTCAATGTAGTTCTGGGGAATGTAACCAACTTTTCCGTCAGAGTTACGCGCCCTTAGCCATCCATCTCCATCACCATCCGATATTATTTCTAAAATGTCGTTTTCATTCATGTCCAGTTCATCTGCATTGCTAGCCTGAAATTACAAAAAAATATTTCAAGGATATACTGTAAAAACACTTATTTTAGTTGACTCAAATTTTAGTGTATTACCAAATTCAAACAGATTAGCGCATTGATGCATTGGCACACTCACAACAGATGGAACAGAAAACTATATACAGAAACTTCAATGAGGGAAATCATAATTTAGAGCAATACTTAATGCATGCTAAAATAAGAATACCGCTAAGATATGTATGCTTACAGTAAGCTATTATATAGATAAGTTAGAGTTACCTCCCTTTAACACTATTTGGTGCATGCGTTTTTTTGTACAGTATTTCACAACTGAGTCACTGTTACCTAAGCCAATAGAATTTATTAAATCTAGTTCCAAGTACTTTTCTTAAATGGTATAGAACAAGATTTTGAAGAGCAGAACTCTTTTAGAAATGAAACACATTACAAAGTAAGTTGTTCTATATCCATAAGTAAAAATCTCAGAATATGAACATTTCTTTTAACATTCACCTAATTTGAAAAAAATGATTTTTCCATAATTTTCGAAAATATTTTCTACTTTTTTCCCACTGTCAATTAATCATTTTCTTGCATTCTCATGATAATGATGTTTAAAATGACCCCAAAATTTCAAAATCTGCTCGTAAAATTTGCTCTGGTTACAAAAATAAGGAAATTTGAAGAACATACAAGAAGTGGATGATAGACAACATTTTCCTGCGTACCTGGAAGTCGTACATGGCCCTACACTTGACACTCTTTGTTTGGCTGCCGTAGGAACTGATGCTGTCATGCTTGCTAACTTCAAACGTGTCGTCAATAAAATCATCATCATCATCATAATGCGTGTAAGTCGGCTCATGGTCGTCACTTTTCTGTAACAACAATGTAACAGACATCATTATTTTTTCAATGACTGCACTAAGAGTCGAACCCCGGACCTCTGGCTTACCTGTTTAACACTCCACCAAATGAGATAAAGAGAAGTTCTCCCTAGCTGAGTCGGTAGGAAGTGGCTAGTAATTTAACCTGGGTGACATAAACAACAACCTCAGATGAGGTCTGTAGCTAAAATTTTAAAACACAACTGTTCACCTCTGTTGAGGTCAATGGAAGTTGAACCATCTACAATTCTTATATTGATCCAGATGGATTTATAAATTATACCTGTTACAAAAGAATCCATGACCTCTGACAAGGTCAGTAAATCTACCATTCACAATTTACTGTTCTCAGAAGGAGAACACTGACCTCATATTAGGTCAATTGATGTACTCCCTACAATCAAGTGACGACCTCCTCAGAAGGTTAGTAATTGTGTGGCACTGACCTCATATTAAGTTAGTAGATGCACTCCCTACCATACAACTATAAACATTTTAAATTCAATAGATATATGTCTACACTCACCCCTCCTGAGCTCTCTGTCCGCAGTGAGATCTGACTGGGCGTCCGCGACATTTCTTCTTCCTCCACCCGTAAACTTTCTGCCTGGGCACTGGCTATCCACTCGTCCACGTTAACTGTAACAGATTACAACACTCAATGTCATTCCACAGAAGTTTTCTGTTCACCATGGATCAATCTTTTGGAAAAAATTCTCTGGTATTTTAAGAGCCAATAATTTACACAAACAAAATGTGTTCAAGGCCACAGAATTACATATTATACACATCTGATAAATTCATTCAAGATTTAACGATACATCAGTTTTAAAGCCTGTTAAACATGTAAAAATACACGTTGTCTGCCTGAGCAATTCTTAAACATAAAACCTACCTTCTGCTTGCCTGAGGGCTTCCAGTCTGGCTTCGGCTTTACATTTAGCAATCTGCAATAAAATTAAGTATCTGCGTAATCCGGACTTGGAGGCGTTCCATCTTGCACACTAATGGACAATTAATTTCTAGTTTCACACACAAGAAATCCAAAATGATCACCGTAATTCCCTTCATGTGCTGTAATGTTGTTGATAAAATGGTTAATTGTTATATGCAGAATAAAGTGATTGGTGAATGTGAATCACAAAACCAGAAACCACAAGAGGACGTTGTTATGTCAAACATCAGTATCTTAATTTACAATCCACCACCCAGCATGTGCCGTAATATTGTTGATAAAAGAGAAATTGTCTGTATTAAATGATAAACTGTATTACCATATTTATCCTCCAATAAACCCAGGGGGCCAACACATAATCTCTGACTCTAAGTAGGGGGTGGGCTTATTACAGGACAACATATAACCTCCGACTCTAAGCAGGGTGTGTGGTTATTACAGGACAACACATAATCTCCGACTCTAAGCAGGTGGTGGGCTTATTACAGGACAACACATAATCTCTGACTCTAAGCAGGGTGTGTGATTATTACAGGACAACACATAATCTCCAACTCTAAGCCGGGGGTGGGCTTATTACAGGACAACACATAATCTCCGATTCTAAGCAGGGTGTGTGGTTTATTACAGGACAACACATAATCTCTGACTCTAAGCAGGGGGTGGGCTTATTACAGGACAATAAAGTAGCACTTGTTGGCAGTTCTACTGAACTGCAATAATTATTAGTGGGCATACTATTTATTGCTGGATATTATATGTGCATTTTAGTGCCTACCTGTATTCAGAGATTGCAGGTCTAAAACCCGTCTTATTTAATCCCTGAGTATTTCAACATTCTGTCTTATCCAACAGTATTATGAAAATCCCACTTTTTTTAAAAACTTACTAAATGAGACCTGAGTATTTGACAGCTGTCTAATCCAGCATAATGCTGAAATCACACTTAGCACTGGAAACTACCAAATAAGACCTAAGTATTCCAACACCTGTCTCATCTGACAAATATGTTACCTCCCAAAGAGTGTCAGATCAGACAGGTTTCACGACATCAGAAGTCAGTTTTGTCACATAAGAACCTTAAAACATCTTGAGATTTTTCTAAATAACTGGTAATAGTTTTTCAGACAATAACTTACCTCAGACTTTCGGAGACAAAAACGCACTTCTTCTATCCTCTGTTCTACTTCCTGCTGAGAGTTGATGTCCATTCCTGAGTCAGAGAGCTACAAGGAGGGAGATAATACTTGTAATTCACAATCTTAATTTCAACAATTGACCTTTCATTACTTAGCGGGAGGACATACAGTTGTGATTCACATAACATGTATGGCTTACTTTATGTGCAAATAATCACAAGAAACTTAAATTCATTAGCAATGCTCAACATGAATTTATGTGAAAACCGGAATTGTAAGCTCCGCCTTTCTGTCATTTATGATACAAATCCCTGTTGTTAGCAGAACTACACCAACCTATCCTAATCATTTGAAGTGTTAGTTAAATTCCTAATCAAAATCCTTACTATCTTTGTAGCTAAAAGCCCCTTTCCATTTAAATACATACAAACCCTTTTTTCTTTAAAGCTACAAATGTATGTCTCTGTCACCCTGGACATCAACAACTAATAGGACTTGCACAACTAAATCAGCCAATCAGCAAGTGTTTCATACGATTGTAATCCAAAACTTTGTTCCAGTTAAATACAGTGCCTCTGAGTAATTTATATGTGCAAATATTGGCATATTATTTATTGAATGAAATCTATAGATATTGAACTTTGGATAAATGTATAATTTTAGCTGATTTTTATATGTGATGGTGGATTTATATGGGGGGGGGGGGGGGGGTCCTATCCAGCTTTACCGATTGGATTGGTCAACTTTCAGTTGTCAAAAGCAGAAACTTGTAGCAATCTTATACGCCACTAAACCTGCCAAAAAAATATCTTTTGAAGCCTTTGTCAGGTATGTCTCTATGAATTTAGACAGTTTTTACTAATGTCAAACATCAAATATTAACACTGTTTGCTCAAAGGCTTATTAATAACATAAAGTAAATGATATAGTTGTGCAAGTCCTCATATCTCCACCCAAACAACTCAGCTGTTACAATAGACCTAACTATCATCCCCATCAATTTTACCATGGTCACACACCCCTTCTGTCACCATAGTTACGACCCAACCTTGCCACGAAATTACCAATCCCTTTGTTACCATAACAACAAAACAACTTCCACCTCCACCCTTGTTACCATGGCTACAAACTCATGATGTTACCATGCCTACCTTGTCCCCCTGGGATTGTTCCTGTAGGGACTTGATGTTGGCTGTGTATTCTTTGATGGTCTTGCTTTCCTTTGCTGCCTTGGTGGCCCACTTGCGGGCCTCTTTGTCCAGCTGTAGCCCCGCGTCATGGGCCTTGGATACTTTATTGCACTGAAACACCACAAAATAAGTTAAAGCATTTGGAAGCCCCTTACTGTTCACAACGATAGAACATGGAACAAAACTCTTGATACTGCAAAGGTCCCAAATTAGTCCTCCCATACAATTTTGTAGTGGAATACAGTAAACTCATTCATCCCTGAAATTTCATAATGAACTATTCCAACCTATGAATTGGAAGAGTTCAAATGTGTCTTCAGTGGTGACTGAGTTAATTCTTTTCTAGTGTTCTCGAACCAACATAATCTCTTTAAAATCATCAAAATGTTGAGTCTCAAAAAATGCATGCCTTAAGACCTAAAGCAAAGTATATTAGTAACTCTGCTTTCATTCTTAGCAATAATGCATCTGTAACAGGGCGCATTATTAATTAAATATAAACCACTGCCTCCGCATGGGATCGAACCCGGGACCTCTGGCTTATTAGTCTTACGCTCAACCGATCAAGCTAAAGAGAAGTTCTCTATAGCCGAGCGATATATTGCGGCTAGTATTTACCAGGGTTACACATCTTGCATTTGTTTATTTTTTTCTGAAGAACTATTTAATAAAACTTTCAAATGTAATAGTTTTTAAAATCTTCCTGGATCACGATAACTTACCTCATCGTTTTGGCAGGGTTCAAAATGGTATTGTGTAAGGTCTGTGAAGACGTGATTACAGTAGAGAAAACATTGATGATTAAATTGGCGGTCAATCTGAAATAAAATGACCAAAGAATGAAATTAAAAGGCGTGGTCAGTCTCCGGGTGCTGTGGTAAAAATATCCAAACAAATGAATATCATTGCAAATCTTCTAATCTTTTATTCAAACAATCAATAATTATTGACATTGTGAAACATTTCTTTCTTCCTTGGTTATAATTCTTCTTGTATTTGTTTATTTCTTCTTGTACAGAATAATTGAATTTATTGCAGATACTTTGGTTTCCGATATAAATTCCTGATTAACTTTGGTTTTCCAGATAAATGGAGTGAAACGCTGAATTAAATATTTGACTTTCTGTCAAAGGTGTTTTGGTAGAAAATATTCCAGACCAGTAAGAATCTACTGCATCCAAATCTTTATAACAAGTTCCATAATAAATTTGATTCCAATTTACCATTTTTGCCTGGGAGACGATGTTCTCACAGGAATCTTTCTCTCGAGAGCTGACATCTAGAGCCGTGGATCCTAGCACATCAAAATAATCCTTGACTTGTTCAAACATTTCTCCATCCAGAGTCTGTCAATCAAACAAATCAAACAATCTCTAGATAATACAGGTACAGTAATTTTATTTCAAGGCAATTAAATCTGTTAAAACAAAGGTCAAGTCATTATTTATAAAAAAAAAAATACTTCTGGATATGTATTTCCATGCAAGATATTCAATGAAAAATATTTCATTGCTGAAAATAGTTATAGGAACTTCTTATATTAAGATTTTATCCTGCAAATAACACTTTTTTTGCAAATCCATGGAATATAAACCAAAGAAAACAAGTGTAGTATCCTCATGTTTTAAACGACACACCTCAAATCTTTCTTGATATTATCATTTTTCCCTAAACAAATGTGTACTATACAAGAATATTTATGGCAAGCAACAGTGATTTCTGTTTACACAGATATTACCTTCATGACCTCTGGAAGGTCGATGCTGTAGTAGCGTATCTGATGTGCATTGGCCGCGGACATGTTTAGCACATATTCGTTACGAGACTGACAGGACTTGGCCTCGCACATGTCCCTTCTACTGTTCAGCTGTAATCAAACAAGTTCAGTTATAGCAGAGTGCGATATTGTTTCATTACAACGACACATTAATGAAAATCTATCCGTAGAAAAACTAAGTAACATGGCTCCCTTTTGATTTTTTTGTAGTAGATTCCACTTAATATCACATTGTTTAATGATTGGATATAAAAAATAATCTACAGGCAAACTCTATAACTGGGGATACATATTTTGTAATGGTCCTGAGGGTCCATTTTCACATCTTGGTTTCTTGTACAACAGTAGACCAAACAGCTGTTAAACCTTTCACCCCTAGGTAACTTTAGTAGACTCTACCATACATTGATCTGGATGAGTCCATTATGGTCTACAGTGGTGAAAGGGTTAAAGAAGTAGTATCTAAAACATATTAGTTCATACATGTTTATACTTTAACCTATTTAACATACCCAAATTGAGCCACTTTTATAACATTATTGATAAAATATTAAATCGGCATTGACACAGTACCTCCATGGTTTGTTTATAAAAACTAGACCCTCGTGAATTTGTCTCAAATTGGTTCCGGTATCTAGTATTTAGTTTGATACTAAGCATGATTTATTTTCTACAGAAGAATGAATTGCTAATAATGTCACATTTCTCTATATATCACATATTTCTCTCACCAAAGACATATGACAATAAGAATAATGAACTTCCTAACAATATTTTTAACGTCACCATATACCAACATTGTCATAATGGATAGAAAATTGACAAAATATCTAACAACTAGAATGTAACAAACTGGGGAGTGGAGACCCAACGTCCCAGCTGCAAGGAAGTCAGTCCAATAGTGGCGGTAGGGATCCTGGGATGGATACCTTAATGGTATTCAGCAGTGCTCATCAGGGAAAGCAGAGCAAATGGAACTAGAAATGATGAGCAACAACACCACTGTCAGGAAACCATGAAATTTAGGCTCCAAAAAAATATCTGTTTTCACAGTATCTTTAAAATAAGATTATATATAGTGTTTTACTTAACAATGTCAGTTGTAACACAATATTTCTAAATGGGTTACCTTAGCACTTTTCTGTTGTAGACTCGTCAAAGATTGGAATATTCCTGTAGACCTTCGCGCCAATCTGTAAAAAAAAGAAATAATGCGTTATGCATAGATATATTCTAAGATGTCAACAAAGTAGTTCAAGAGGGACACAGAGAAAAATTGCTGAAAAATAGAAAATGTCCGTTTAACATGAATGCCTCTATTGGCCCTATACTTAACCTATAAATATTAAGTGTCATTGGCGTTGACCTTGGGACCCTGAAATTGAAGCTAATTCAAGGTATTTTCATATTTGACCTTAGCATAAACTTTGATTAAAATGTGTTAGTCAGGAGAGTCGGGACAACAAATTGGAACGAAACAGGACTTCAGTAATATATCCCCCCCCCCCCCTCCCCCTCTCCTTTCCCCCATAAAAGTTGGGGCATTCAAAGAAAAGGAGAAATACATCAAGTATTACAATAAGTGCAACAGATTATATTTTGTCTCTTCAATATGCTTTTAGCAAAGCATATAGACAAAAACTCATTAGTCGCCTCCTCCAAATATCAGCCACCGCAGAGAAATTCCATACCTGTCGTTGCTGTCTGCAGCTTTGAGACGTGCCTCGTGAGAGACATTCTCGTCAAGGTTGTATCCTTTCTGTGACTTTGCCATCTCCATCACACTCTGACTGACCTCTTGGTGCACAGTGGTCAGTTGTGGCATTACCTGTGGTCAAGATCAGTAGTGGTCAGTTACAATGGAAATACCTATTATACTCTTCATACAATCTTACATTTCATTGTCTTTCTATGACTTTGACAATTATCGCATTTGTTAATTTAGAGATCTGTACATCACTATTATGTTAAAATCTTCACAAAATGTCTTTTTTACACTGTAACCTAAAAATGTATACATACCACAAAATGATCTTTACCTACCCACCTTTACCTTATATCATTATTTGTTCAATGTTGTGACTTTCACTCAAACCCTTATTATCAACTGACATCTTGACCTCTCATTTTGACCTTTACTCGCGCACTCATGACCTTTACCCAGATTTTACCTGATAACAGAACCATTACTTAAACTTTAACCTAATATCCTGACTATTATATAATAGCATGACTTTGGACCTCTAACATTGATTTTGACTTTGCCTTTGACTTTGCCTTTGACCTCTACCTGACATACTGACCTTTACCGCACCTTTGCTTGTCAAATTTCGCTTTATTTGACCTCTACATGACATTTGCATTCTCCTCACCTTTGCTTTGTCATATTTAGCTTTATTTGACCTCTACCTGACATATTGACCTCTACCAGACATACTGACCTTTACTTCACCTTTGCTTGTCATATCAAGATTTATTTGACCTCTACCTGACATATTGACCTCTACCAGACATACTGACCTTTACTTCACCTTTGCTTGTCATATTAAGATTTATTTTACCTCTGACTTATTGACCTTTACCTAACATATTGTGACAATATAAAATTAACCGACATTGTGACTTTACCCACCTTTTTCTGACATTGTATTTTATTCGCCCGGAGAGGTTTGATTGGTTCTGCTATCTTCTCCGTGTAAATCTCGGCCGCCTGCAGTTTGGCTTTGGCCAGACTTTCTGTTTCCTCCAGAATCACTCGCCATACCCCAAGGGCCGTTCTGTTGGAGAGAAAAGACAGCATATTAGCACATCATCATTGAGACTTGTATTTGTGAAATTAAATAATTTTGCTTGATAACCAATTACAGTTCAAGGATTAAATTTCTGGTGGAGATTTACTTTTAATACAAGCACTGGCACATTATCACTGGCACAAGTGCATGATTCATGTGTCAATTCATTTCTGAATATCTTCCAAAAAACCTCAACAGGAATTTTTATTTTCCATAATTCAAAACCTTACAAAATTCTCAATACCATTGCATCCCATTGGGTAAACAGGCCAGGAGGTTACCAAAACACATCCCAAATATGACTTCGGGATGGAGGCATTGTCAGAAACGTAAAATTGAAACAGTTGTGGTTCCTGCAATAAATACACGACTATACAATTTGCCTTTAACCCTTTCACCCCTATGTAACTTTAATAAACTCTGCCATGCATTGATATGGATGAGTCCATTATGGTCTACAGTGGTGAAAGGGTTAAATACATTTATTGTGTTGCAAGCTCTCCTAAAAGAAAACCAGGAAATGTAGTTACTCTCAAAATCAATGAGAGCTGAAAACCTCAATTGAAGCATAGTTATTAAGAACAACACAAAGATGTTTGTACCCTAAAATGCTGCATGGGATAAAAGGAAAACAAACATTTATTGATCCAAAATGAAATGAAATGGTCCATGATTTCTATAAATTACAATAAAAATGTATGGAAGGATGCAGATATATCCGATTATTTTAACTCATCTTAAAATTTTCAAATATAAACGACATATATTTGGAACATTTTATCTTCAAAGTCTGATTACAATTGGAGATTAAGCTATTACTATTAGAACAATATAAAGATAATGCGAAAATTAGAACAATTAAAAAAATAATGCTAAAATTAAAATAATTAAAAAAATAAAGCTAAAATTAGAACAATTAATAAAATAAAGCTAAAATTAGAACAATTACGAAGACACAACTACTATTAGAACAATAACGGTATCTACAGGGCCAATGTCCTATTGGGGCTATATTTAGACCCTCAATCTCTCTAACTGTGAAAACAGATCTTAATCCATGGTAGTTAAATCACAGTTACCTACTTAAATTCAAACACTTAGAAAAATGAAATATTTCTGGTGATAAAAAATCAAGGCCTTAATTGCCTACACAAGATGTGTGATTATAACACCAAAATTGGACCAAGTTCCATTTGTATCACCACTTGGTTCCCATGGCGATATCCTACGCCTATATATGGAGTAAAGCTCCATGTGCCAAACTAGACATTATCAGTGGCTAGAGTAGCACTGAGTCTCACCCATTAACTAATCGATGGTCTTTACAAAGTTCCCAAGTGCTATATATATATATATATTAATTCATTCTAACGCAGATGTGGCCGATGAATATTCAATATCGACCTTATATAGATAAATGGCCTCGTACACTAAGTGCTAAAGGGGGGGTAGATCCCAACTCTCGTTTTCACAAAACAGAACACAGCTGAGACAAAGTGGCGCCATCTAGTGGCTTCATGTTCCTTGGTACGATTATGATTGCCAATGTTTATTATCGGCATTGCACATCGTTATGAAAAGGACATCAAAAGTCTAGCCTCCTTTTTATCATGTTACTCTCAACCCACATGCAATTATTGCGCAGCAGACTGCTAATTTGAATAAGAAAACAAAGGAAAACTCAAGCCTGATAATGCTGGATATCCCAATCAAAAATAAAAACATAAATATACGAGTACTTCAAACATGCTAGAACTATTACGAAAGGTCATCTAAGAAAACAAAGCAAAAAGGAATATGCTTTAACATAATATAGCTTTACCAATTTTCTGACAAAATGTTAAAAAAGACCTAACAATTAGAAATTTGAAATATTAAAATTTTACAAGTGAGAAGCCATTTAAAACGTTTTCAACAAGCATTAATTATCATAATACAGAATTTACTAGTCCCCTACCAATACATCTGGAGGGGACTGAAAGTTTGCAATCCATTTATCCATCTGTGTGTCATATAGTCTGGAGCATGTCTCATATATTTCCAGGGGGAGGGGGATTTTGTGTTGGGAAAAATTGAGGAAAATTGTGAAAATACATGATTTTTAAAGAAAATTATCAATCAATAGATCTCAGAATACAGGAATAGTTTAGCATTTTCACTGGTTGAAAATACTAAATGTAAGAGTCCAAAATCGGGAGTCTCCTTCCTCCTATATAGGGAGAGTTGGTAAGTATGGAACTTGTTTACTGCATACTTTAACTTTATTTTGTTTCAATTCTGGAACTCCACAGCTATTATCTCCTTATAACATACTGTAAGATGATACCACTGGGAAACACTAATCTCCAAGATATTTGTTGAACGTCGAGGTATTACAGAGCTACAAGTTAAACAAGACAAACAAACGTCATTACCATACCCCCTGTGACATAGACATTGGGGAGATAAACCTGACTTTCTAACGATTTTTAATGACTTCCACTTTGCCATACTTTGACTCCTGACATTCAGATAAACAACTATAGCCCTTGGACGTACAAATATATCTAACATCCTTTGGTCTTATTTCTGTCAGCTGAGTCTTTTCCTGGAACTAATCTGTGGTATTTAAATTTCCTGGAACACTGTTAACTCATTGATTCACCCCTGAAATTTCTTAATGAACTATTCCAACCAATTAATTGGAAGAGTTCAAATGTGTCTTCAGGGGTGAATGAGTTAATAGTCAATAGTCTTAGCTATCTCTCTGTCAGAAGGACAATACATTCACAGGGTTATATTCAGTGTCCTTTTTCACACTGCAGAAATGAAACATCAGAGATTTATAAATGCTATACAATAAAAAATTCTTTAAATGGAAAATTTTAAAAGATACGAGACAACAAAAGACACAGATAAAACGAAAGTGAAAGACAGACAAATAACAGAGAGAGGGAAGTAAAGACAAGCAACAAAGAAAGAGTAAACCATCAAATTTTCACAGTGTGCTGCCAATTTGTCACACCCTGTTTATTGAAAATAAATTTGACCTTTTAATGTATCTTCATGTTTTCCAATATACTGGTTGGTACTATCTACTCCAATCTCCATCCAATGCTTTAGTCTGTCATTTATTGCAGTGAACAAAATAAAAGAAGGGCAAAATTTTTCTGCCTTACAGCAACACTTAGGGAGACTTATAATTAAATGCATACAAAAATTGAAGCTGATCAAAGAAAGAGGAAAAGATTAAAAAGGGTTACAGAAAGAGAGTGGTCTGCTTCCACCGGGATTCAAACTCGCGATCCCAGACTTCCTGGTTAGACACTCTACCACTGAGTTAAAGGGAAATTCCCTCTAGTCTGAAGCTAGAAGGCGACCTTAATCCTATATGTACTATTAAAACCTGCCAAAAAAGGATTTGAAGTAAAATGACCAATAAGCAGAAATAAAGCTACATATATGACAGAGACTTAAGACAGACAATTATACACAGACAGATAGATAAACAACTGATACACGTAGCGATTCAGTTCTAAGAAAAACTTTTGAAACTGATCAACGTGACCTTATACGTAGAGAAATCCCAGTAGATCGTCCAGTTTGACCACTCAGAGAAATAAGTGACCACTAGCTGTCAAACATCAATAGCAGACAGAAGTTCAAAGTCTATTTTCACCAATTTTCTAGCCCTCTTGGTAGGTGGCAGAAGATCAGAAACGTTTTCCCGTATTTTGTCTGTCCTCTTTCCCAATCTCAGTGTGACATCAGACATCGTAACCGAACATTCAACTTCTTAATCATTTTGTCAACACCTGAGACTTCTAACCGTAGACACATAAAATATGTCACTTGTTTTATCCTGAAGATAGTGCTGTTCGGAAAAACAAATAAAATTGTTCAAAAAGAATTATGAAAGAAATTTTATCACAAAGAAACTTTACTGCTAAGCTATCTTTGACAAAAAGATTTAAAAAATATTGAATACAAAAAAACCTGAAAAAAACATCTTTTTCACTCTGCAGAAATTTAATAATTTCTGATTACAATTCTTCCAAAAAATCATGACATGCAAAGGAAATCATTTGCTGCTGGTTAGATGACAAGAGTATGATACAGAATGTTGTTTGCAGTAGAGAAAAGATTATAGTAGAAAGCAAATCATGGCAAAGGAAAGTTTATTGTAGAAAGCAAATCATTGAAGACAAAAGATTATGGTAGAAAACAAATCATAAAGGAGAAAAGATTGAGAAAGGAATAAATAGTGGAAGAAGAAAAAATTGTTGTAGAGTACTAATCATGGAAGAAGAACGATAGAAAACAGATATTTGAATAGAGATTTTTGGTAGAGACCAGATTGTGGTAAAGTTGCATGTAAAGCACTCTTAAGTTATATATAAGTTGTAAGATGTTTGATTTTGTACGAGCGCGAGATAGAGATTTATTCTGATACTTCCATGTCATAGTGACTACAACACAGGAAATCCCAACAATCATTCCACCCAGTGCATCAAGTCTCCATGCAGAGCCGAGATTAGAGCTTTGTTTAGCTGCGTGAGTAACGCTACAGCTATCGCTGTGTGGTACACGCAACTCCAAAGTATCTGAGGTGGCAGAGCATGATCAGGATAGTCTGGAGCAGGGAGTAGGAGGGGGGAGACACGTGAGTGGAAAGAGGGCAGGACACAGGGTAAAACATAGGGGTAGGAGGGGGGAAACATAGGAGTGGAACGAGGGCAGGACACAGAGGGAAAATATAGGATAGGTGGGGGAGACACAGGAGTGGAACGAGGGCAGGACACAGGGGGAAACAAAGGGATAGGAGGGGGAGACACAGGAGTGGAACGAGGACAGGGACACAGGGGGAAACATAGGATAGGTGGGGGAGACACAGGAGTGGAACGAGGGCAGGACACAGGGGGAAACGAAGGGATAGGAGGGGGAGACACAGGAGTGGAACGAGGACAGGGACACAGAGGGAAAACATAGGGATAGGTGGGGGAGAC